TAAAAAACTCAAAATAAATTTACATTGTATTTAAATGCCCCTCGATTGACGACCTTAGGATGAGGACACATTAACGAGCGATAGCGAGTACTCACAACTACTGTGTGCTGTAACTCGTGTTGTGTTAATACTATTAGTAGTAATGTATTATTATAATATAAATTTTAATAGTTTTCCATTAATTCTTAGTGAGTAAACTCTATAAAATTGTCTGGTTTAATTTACTATAGGATGCTACTAATAACACTGGCTTCAAGTCTAAGGAATTACATTTAATATACAAATTTATTATACAAGAGTAATGCATCTTTCAGTAAATGAACTGAATACTGGGGACCCAAGTACACGCACATAGTTACAGTTATGCTACACATACACTTATAGTGTAGGTTCACCACCTACACTCTACTTATTTTGTATGGCTTCTAAACGTAGCTTGGTTGAACATTGATTCGATCGCGAAAAGTAACATTTTTATTAGATTATAACATTCAAACATCTTAACTACTGCATAAAAACTATCAGTACCCAGTATCAGTACACTGTATACCCTTTTTGTACCTCAGATAATTTGCCAAAAAAGGTACTTACTGTTTCTAAAGGATAGTGAATTGATTGACACAGTATACATTAACGCGAGGGAAGCCTCGAGAAGATACTAGTAAATTAAAATAAAAAATATATATTTAAATAACTAAGAAAATAAATGTAGCCATTGCCAGTTCTCATGTTAAGATTCTTTTATTCTATTATTTCCAATTTGAAAATATTTTCTAATCAAATTATTACCCCTTAACTTCTCGTCATTCCTTTACCTACCTACGTTTTATAGTTAGTTAAATATAAACCATACAAAATACATACTTATTTTGTGTATGTATACACAAAATACGTTCTCAGTCAAACGTAATGTAACTTTAACTAGAAATCGCTCGCTCTTCTACTATATTTCACCCGTTGCCGCGGCCACAGATGTACGAAAAATTACAGTCGCGCTTTCTACTGCGTTGGATTAAGTGGATTCAAGTGTCCGTGGCTCCCTTCTTTCTGTATTGTCATTTTAAACAATGTAGTCATGTATTTTTGCTCTTTGAACATAATATTTGACGACGATTATGCAGGATTGGTCACAGAATTTAGCATTTCTGTAGAGCTGTAGAGCTGCAGAAGATGTTTGAAAATAATAACTTGAGACATCTCTCACATGGCCGTCTGATCCATGACTAGGCAGAACCTCTATAGGACTGGCTAGACATAGGCCTCTCCTTAAAATAAGTTTTGGCCTACTATACTACGTTGGCCAGACGGGTTAGTTTAGGGTTTGTGTCAAGTTTTCCTTCTCTTTGCAGTGCTGTTTTATTTGTTTTGTCTTGGATGGGAATTACACTTACGACCTCTAGCTTTGCAGCCAAGATAACAACTAGACCCAGCACGAGCAGTCAGGTTACCATGGTCAGAGGTTTGCCTAGAATGGGATCCAACCTAAGTGAACACCAATTTTTGTTTATTCCAAAATCAATCATAAAATGTAGAGCTTGTGGCACTAGCTGACAACAAAAAGAGCATAAGTGTATAGGATTAAATAGATTCAAGTGTTCATCCCGGTCCATTGTGTTGTTTGAGTATCGTTCGCCAGATGATGCCTACATGTTGCAATTTTTGCCGTGGATTAAGGGATCAAGTTTGTTTGCTTTCATTTTGTTTTGTTTTGATTCAAATTGAGAAGTAAATTGTTGGTAAATAACTCATTTCTGTAATGCCGTTATTAGCTTCTAAAAATATTGTGAGACACGTTTAGAAACAGTTGAAGAAACATGTAAGAAACAGTTGATAACCAAACAATAAAGAAAATGCATTTACAAACACATGATATTCGTCAATGGTTAATTTTTTTTAGTAGCATTGATACCAATAAAAAAAAATTAGTCAGATACTAAACTACTGTCTTCGTCACCATATCATTCCCATGATTGTAATTTTGTCGTCGAAACTACATTGACTGTATGAATGTAAGTTAAAATTGACATGTAATGAATTGTTAATATACTCGTAGTTAGAAAGTTATAACTGAAGCTAATAAATTGTGTTATACTCTGCTAAAAGACAATAACTCAATAGAATGAACATTCTGATAATCACGTACGGTCCAAGTACCATATTTGACATGCCATACTCGTATATTACTACTCTATCTCTATCGACTGCACGGATGGCGTAGTGGTTTAAGCGGTGTTCTTAGTGTCCGTTTCATGTATGTTTGTAAAGTCTCCCGCGACACAGGATATTTTCCTAATGCGGAAGATGACTTTTAAAAAGAAAGAAAAAAACGAATCTTCTGATAAGTCCAAGTACCATATTTGACATATCATATACTACTACCTACTCCTTACCCTATACATTTTCTTGACACCAAATTAACATTTTCCTTTGTCTCTCTAAGGACGACTACTTCCCCAAAGAGGATTTGCATCAGGGACGCGGCTTTCTATAAAAGGAACTAAGCAATTTAATTTGCAAAATCACAATTTTTAATAACTCTAAATGAGATTAGGCAATTAGCGATGAAAATTATGATGATCTTTTGTGTCCCTATTAATTTGTATCACCTGAATACTTCTTAGTGTTACCAGCATTGTCTTTAATACTTTTTAAGTAAGCTCTTGATCAAACAGTTTCTACATGCGCAAAGTGTGACCGCTCATACAAAATTAGATCATCCAAATATTAGAGGTGTTTGAACAATTGTACGGGTTAGTTAGCCGAAATGCAGCATTCATAACACGTGACACTTCAATTTCGTCATCTGTTTTTGTTATAATTTATATTTTATGTACTAAGTGTGAACTGGATATTTGTAATATATTGATTGCCCCACTTTACATTTGATTTCCTGTTTTTTAAATTTTCTTTACAATTAGGTTTATTAATAACATATTTTATTTACTCAAAGACAAGAGTGTTATTTTTTTTTTTCTCTGATGTACCCCTCATCAATACAGACTAATACTTCTCCGCAATGACTTTTAGTATGCTGTTAATGTTGTCCCGCACCCTCCTCAGCAGTGAAGCCACATACTTCCGGGTGATGGCATGGAAGCCATCAACTCGCACTTGCGCAAATATGCTTGAAGGACTACAGAAGAGAGGTAACAGCACACTGAAGCCATAGTTAGACTGCACTCACGAATTAAAAGAGCTCTGGAGATACCTGACCTATAGACTCGCGCTGAAGGTTTGGCAGTTCAACCAGACCAGTGTGATCTTAACCTTCTTATTAGAGATACTAAACCTACAAAAACTTCTGCAAACCTAATATTATATTAATCTGATTATTTATAACCAGATTAAGATAATATTCCTAATAGCTACTCAATACATTGGCATGTTGATCAGATAAGTAGTTTAGGCTTAAAACCGTAACAAAGTGACTTTCACGTTGATAATACTAGTTAGGAAGTTAGGACACACTGCATATGGAATTCGGATGCATCTCAGATATAAACACATTAGAAGGCATACTACATAGCGCAATCTAAATTCAAACTAAGTAGAGGGTATTCTATCTAAATCTCGAATAAAACCAATAAGAAACACTTTTTTGACCATAGATGCTCCTGACCAATGCAAAATTTTATCTTGCACATACATTTTTGCACTAATCTAACGCACAATTCACAGAAGACTCTGAATGTTTTAAGACCTACTAAATTTAGACATTAAAACAATAGGCAAGTAAAAGAGAAAGTCGATTTACATCAAAAGGTTGCAAGTGGTATTCGTGACACAGATATGAGTGAGGATGTCGAGCAGCTAAGACAACAAACTCCAATGTTTGGCGACGATGTATTACGGATAAATGGATAACTGAGTCACGTGTTGACTAACCTCAATGGAAATTTGGAACGTATGACAAAGGATGAGCGTGAAAGTCGTTGATGAAATATTGTAAGGTAGGGGCGCAATTTATTTTATGGAATAGGGGGCAATGGAATAGCTGGCCATGGATACAGACATATCAAGAGTGTCCCTCAAAATTAGGAAAGAGAGAGAGGGGGGGAGGGTAATTTCTATCTCCGGCACCTTGATTCATTCTAGAATTGCATGTTTTTAAAGCAGGTTTAAATTGCAGGTTTTACAGCGTGTTCAAGTGCCCTAGAGTTGCTATAGACTACATTAACGGCTTGCTATCATTCGTCATCTTTCAAATTTAACTTGTACTGTGTAAATAAAAAGTGGGTATTAAATGTCAAGTCATTTTTATTGCAAGCGCTTTACGTTCTTTTTAATAACAGCTGTATCAATTATAATAATATTAACAATTTAAATAGCAACTCCTGCAAATGGTAAGCAGATTTTTCTTAAGAGAATAAAGCCGTTTTGTCTTATAAAAAACGACACTGAAATGGGTGCCATCCATAGATGCTAATTAGTTTCGTCATCATAGTGGCTTAAAAATAAAGGGTGGGTATTTTGTCCTTACTATTTTGTGGGAGGGGGAGGGTAGCGCTTGTATAACCTCATTCACTCGGTGTAAAGCAGTGTAAAGCAACGACAGTATTGCCTAACACAGGTTTTTGTGAGCCGTCAAGCCGGCCCATTTGTGCCGAAGCATGGCTTTCCTACAATTGGTTTTATCAAGGTTTACTTAATGGGAACATTTTTATTTATTTATTTTATTTACTACATACTTTATGCACACGTATAAGTTGTACAATGGCGGACTTAATGCCACAAGAATTTTCTCCCAGTCTACCTTAGGGTGGTGCTGAAATGTGTGACTAGGTGCACTAGAGATTGATATGTAACGTAAGAGAAAATTATTGAGAGGTTAGACAGAAAAAATGAAATAAATATACATACATATATACGTACCCAATACATTCACATACTTAAATACGTACCTAGTTACATACATAAATAAACCTACATATTAATAATATATAAAATAATAATTGTCCAAATTAAAATTTTAAATATGTACAAAAAAAGAAAAACCTAACCTGTAAATAAGTTTCCTCCTGACAGAACGCTTGAAGAAGCCACTGCAGCCATTGCACGCGAGTATACCGTAGTGTTTTCCTGAGCTGGTGTCACCGCAGACTACGCATATTAGACCTAAAGACAAAAAAGTGATGTAAAATATTATCAAAACATCGTATATTAATATTAGTTTAACCTATCAGTTTAATCTGTAGGTACTTCCTTGCGTTGTCAGTGTAGTGACGGATTAGGAATACGGAGTGTCACCACCTCTATTCATCCAGTGGGTGTCGTAAGAGCTAACTAAGGGAGGAAACCACAAAGGACAACAGCACTGCAGAGGGAAGGAAAACTTGAAACTAACCAACCCTTCTGGCCAGCGTGCAGCGTTATAGTACGCCAAAACCTCCTTTCTAAGGAGAGGCCTCTGTCCAGCAGTGGACTATTAAAGGCTGTTATTGATGAGGATAATGATGACTGTCATGCACAGAGTTTTGTACTACGATAGGTCAAAATATATGTATATTGAACCGCTATAGCTTTATGTAACTGATTTCACATAACTTTTAACCTCCTAGTGTATTTTGTTTATTTTTGTGTAGCTCTCTGTACTTCTTCTGCCTACATATAAACATCAAGTATTTCAAATTTCTCATTCTGGTCTGTGCGTGTTTGCTTAACGACGGCCTACATAGTTTTTTTATGGAATAGGGGGCTACCGCCGCCAATGAACGCTCTTTTCTTGAAAGTTTGAATTCTCCTCAAGTATTACCAGATTCATTTTGTTAAAAGTTACCGGAGAGCCATTTTCCCCCCGCTCTTCCATTCCCTACCTCGCCCTCCAACCCTCTTTTGGGACACAAAGGACGGCAATGCACTATTAACCCTAGAGCTGCAGATATCCATGGGCGGTGGTAATCACTTACCATCAGTCGACCCGTCTACTCGTTTGGCCCCTTTTACCATTGAAAATTTATAGATTTTTTGTATTTGTTGGTTAATTAGTAGAGATTTCAATACAAAATTAACAAAGAGATCTGATACCTGTCTTACCCAAGTGGTTGGACTTCTTAGTTGGCGGATCTGGAAGCCAGGGACGGAGCGCTGGTGGAGCGAGCGCTGCAGCAACTAGAGCTGCTGATGATGGCGGTGACCAGCGTAGTGGAGATGCGTTGCCATCTGTTACAAAAAAAAAGTATTTTTTTTTGACATTTATGTAGGTATTCACACTTATATTTGACAAGCTGATCCGCAAAACTCCCACAACTCCGCACAAGTAGCAATATATTTTTAGAATATAGTGCGGGAGATGTATTTAAAAAAAACATACACAAAATAAATGAAGTAATTCAACACAATCATATTCATTTCAGACATCCTATTTATTTTCAATAAACCGACTTTCCGTAGCATGACAGGTCGACATTTTATTGACTGATTGCGGGAAAATAGCTCAAGATGGCCGACAATTTTTTCTTTCTAGTAAGAATAATAAGTGATACATTCGTTACTCTACTATGAAGTTGACACTTTTACTATTATGAAAATCGACATCATGTTTAGAATAAGTCCCATAATGAGCGGGCCGTCGGAATCGTGGCGTACGACGTCGAGGTTCACAGACTGCCTCTCTCTCCCAAATTCTCGTTAATCTTCTAACTCAATTCGAATTCTATAATACAACGTTAGGGTACCAAGTATAATAGTATCAAACTACCCTCAAAATATTTAATCTCGATAAAGCTAATAAAATAACCATTGCAAATCACACCCTTTCATTTTAATAGATTTCCACTTTCCGTATGGGGCGATCACCCTTTGTAAATAAATGATTTTGAACCTTATGGCGTTGAGGTTAAAGTTTGTGAATGTAGTGATGATTAAGGCCAAATGTGTCGGGTCAATTAAGTGATTGGTGTGCAGACGTACAAATCGAGTGTAGAGGGTTTGAAGGAATTCGTTTTGATTTGGACGGTTTTAATATGTATTTATTATAGTACAAATAATAATAGATACACATTAAGAGTGATAACGTGTTTTTATAATAATAATAATATATTAATTTGTCAGAATATGGGTATACAGAGTTGTTAGTAGGTACATTTTCGATGCTAGCCACATTCTACCATTATCTGGTGAACAAAATGTTAGTAGAGTGAATTTACTGTTTTTTTTTACAACATTATCATGCATTATTATTTCAGTATAACTAAATAATTGATACTCATAATCAGTGAGTCTAGTGGTTACTTATTATTCTGACTACTAAGACAGAGGCCATGGTTCGATTCCCACCAAGTCAACTAACATACTGGACTTCCATAGCTTTGTATAGCCATATTTATATAATTTTTAACGTTTGCTGAACTTTAGCTGAACCGATTTGGATACTTAACTTTATGGCACGTTTGGTGTAATAGTTTTTACTTTCTGCACTTCTGCATATAAATAACCGTTAAATACTTAAACTTCTACACGTAAATAACCGTTAAATATTTAATATGATTCCGTAGATCGTATTTATTTCAAAGGTCGTACAAAGATTATTCTTTAATTATTAAAATACAGACTAGTTGATAATAAGTTAAAACAAAATCAAATGTCAATTTTGTTTATTAAAAAAAAGAACGAGTCTGTACATTATCGTATTTCTGGTTTGTGAGTCTATTGTCAAAACAGCATCTCTACCGCCCCAACGCAACAAATTCAATTACCAATCAGACACAACGACTCTATTCACATGTAGAGACAATTAATTGGTGAATTACAATTGTCGACGTACTCTATTTTGTCTACCTATATTAAGTGTCCGGGGCAGTCACAACACGTTCTATGCTACAGAATTAAGAATATCATAGACCCGGCAGTGCTGTTCGTAATCTATAATAATTAGCTTTTACTATAATAGTAGATGACAATATGCCTTAAAATAAACGTCATCGTGGGAGAACCTTGCTTCGGCACGAATGACCGGAGTGCTCACAGAAAACCGGTGTTTAGCAATTATTTCGTTGGTGAAGTTACCGGAACCCGAATCTCCCCCTCCCGCTGACTCGAGCGAGAGGGACTCCAAGGGCGGCAACGCACGTGTGACTTTTGAGTTGGAGGTGTCCATGGGCGGCGGTAGTTGCGTACCATCAGGTGACCCGTCTCCTCGCTTGCCCCATTATACCATAAAATATATTGGCTATAGGGCGTCGGACTTGTGATCTAGTGGTTGCAGGTTCAAACCCCGTCCAATACCCTATCCACGTCAACTCCTTTTCTGTACCTCTGACAACGCGTGTGGATTTCAAGATGGTCGTTGTTGAGTCGCTTAGACGTAAAAAAATTCATTATTATTTTGTAAGGCTTACTAACGTTATTCAGATAATATTTAACTAATCTGAGCGTACTCAGAATATTCTTCTTGTATTTCTAAAGTACTTAATGGAAGTAGCTTACGCAAGATATGATATAATACAATAATGAATACCCTGCGGGATACCAATCACTACCTAAGTACATATGGAGTTCAAAAATATTATTGTTAGTACCTACATATATGTTACCAGGTATAAATAGCTAGGTAAACGGGAGTTAATCGTGATCGCATTAATTCTCGTTTATGTAATCGTACATAATTAATACATAGCCTATAATACCCCAGTTAAGCACATAGGGATTATAGGTAACTGTGATCCACTACATTACGTAGCAGTTCACTTTGTATTATTAAATTAATCTGTCTGTATCTAGAGGTTCGTAACCCTATGGTAAATAAGATAATTCGTGGGGCCATGTCACACGCATACCCGGTAACTACATTTTGTACCACTAGCTGAGTGCAAATGTAATTTCATTTAATCGTTAACACTCTTCTGTACTCTTTTAAGATTTTTTTAGACTTGTGTTTCATTTTCAGCCACTAGTGTTTTAATATAAACTTAGTTCTGTATGTAGTCCACTCTTTTTTAGAGGAATGTTTTTTTTTAATAAATGTAGTTAATAGTTTCTTGGTCTTGTCAGTAACAATGTTGAGAAGTACCTAAACCATATATTTAAAAAGTACTCAACTTTTTTTTATTAAAAATAATAATTCCTAACTGGGGACACATCACACGCGGCCGTCTGACACCAAACTAGACAGAGCTTGTAATGTAGAAACTAGACTGCTGATAAACATATACACATATTACTATATGTATACATCAAACATTAAAAAAACTGAATCGAGAACCTCCTCTTTTTTTAAATCCGGTTAAAAATATCGGATACTTTTTTTGCGTACAGATTTAAAAACATAGGTATCGCTTTACACTCATAGCGACTACTTTCAACATTTCGCCAGCAGTCACACCGAAACCCCAACAATATGTGAGCAATATAAAATCAATATACGCCGAGATTGGTCCCCCGGGTGTGACCACATCTGGGACCAGATATTAGGGGTTAAAACGGTTTACTGATATTATGATTTGGGGACGTACGGGACTTTAACGTGATATGGAATAGAAGTGTTTAGATTGGATCATGTTCACTCTATTCGGAACGGAAAAGGGTTTGTTATATTGAAGATAAATTCTGGATCAAATAGAGTAGTGTTTTAGTAACTGTTAAGAATGTGTTGCCAAGTTATAGAATGACGTTCAGGGTAAATAAATATAAGTGTAATTATGTGTATTTAACAAAAAAAAAAGACCACTGTGGTAGTGGTCTTTTTTTTTAGGAATATACCTTGTGTCGTGGAGGACTTCAAAAACATTCATAAAACGGACACAAAGATCATTCAGCTTCAGAACAACAATTTGTGGATCACACAAAGTGATGTCTCATGTGGGGATCGATGCATGACGTTCAGTGCAGTAGGCAGCTGCAAGGTGACTACTTAAACCAATATGCTATCCGTACAGTGCACGTTTGTCGGAGTGGTATAAGTTTAAGGTATCTACCTACCCAGTTGAGGTAAGTTAAACTTAAAGGTCTAGTTTAATAAGTTGTTAATATGTCAAAAGCGAGAACGCAATTGTGACTGTTAAGCTGCAGGTGTCCATATAAAGTTAAAGTTAGTTAGTTATATAAAAAACCTTTAAACTACATACTGAGATTTGATACACAGTGAAACTCTAGTTGTTATTCCAATACGAAGCAGCCCAAACAGAAAACTGAAGCTAAAACTACTGGTAAGATAGGTTACAAGAGACCGGTGTACCGGTGTAGGTGTAGTACACCATCAGCCTACCTTTCCATTTGTTTTAATTTTAGTAAATAAGATCAAATTAAGGTATTATTAATAACTAGTTATTCTTTTCGTCTGTCATCCTTTTGCTAAAGTTCATAAGAAGTCCAGAACGAGAATTTAAATGTAAAAAAAATCTACTGTCCAACTGCTTCTTAGATCATTTCAACCGCTTACAGGTACGTAGTACGTAAAGTTATTCAAGCAATTTTATTTTTAACATACCTAATATGTTATAAATTAAACAATATGTCAAATTGTTTAAACATTTTAGGCTAATAGACCACCTATAGTTATATTAGCTATACATAGAGTCTACATCTAATACTTCAAAATCCGCAATCACATACCAGCATATATCCAGCCTCCCCATCTACTCCCATTCATCGTCCAAATAATACCGATTTATGTCACAATACATTCTGAGAACACGAAACGAGAAGGCATAAAAGAAAATTTTATAAGACACATAAAAAGTTCGGGTCCCGAAATTGGAAGTCAGCGGGCTGGAGCGCCTAAATCCTGGGTATCAGGATAAATCAATGTTTGTTTGTGTAGAGCGGCACTTACGGGCGGACTAGGAAAACTGTGGAGATGGTTTTATGATGTTAGTTTTTTAGAACAGGTGGCAAACGAGAAGACGGGTCACCCGATGGAAAGTGATTACCGCTGTTTATGGATAAGTACTTGTGACTCTGCAAACTCTGCAGATTGTGTACAAATGCATTGTCAGCCTATGAGGGTGCTCCCCCTCTTCTAGTTGAGGGGTCGAAAGTGGGGTGGTTGGGCCTCCAGTCGCTTTTTAATACTGGTTTTCTATTTCAGTTTTAGCGGATCGAAATTTTACTTGTATCGATGATTGATAACACATTCCAAAAAGTCATACACTTGGTTTTACATAAATGATTCATATCGTGTAAACGTATAATATGTGAACAGTATTTCAGGATTCTTTTCTTTATATTTTATGTCCTTTTAAATGTAAAACAAAATTTATAACGAATTTCTTTTCGTCACGAGTTTGATATTAGAATAGTAAATATTCAGTTTAAAATGTTTTAGAAACTATAATATTTAAAATTATTACCTAAGACAAGATGTACTAAAAAGAAAAATGAACCAATATGTCTTTTTCGCAAATAAATATTTGTTGTTTATTTTTGTTCTACGAAGGCAAAAATTTAAAAGATAAACGTCTCTACTTATTTCCTTCGTCCGCTCTCAACTGGAAACTTTGTCGCTTGCCGTTTTATTTGGTTTTCTTTTGACGCGGCGGCCCCTGAGCCCTCTGATTAATTTCTCCCCCACCCATTTGAGATCCGGATCCGTTTATACTCCCACTCGCGACAATTCCACAGACACTCGATTTTTTCATGACTTTGGTATTGCACATTCTTTGTACTTACTATTTAAGTTGTATACCGCCAGAAAATTGAGAAATTATAAAGTAAATCTACCTACCCTAATATATGGAAAAAGAAACTTTTAAAGAAAAAGAAGACCACAGTCCTGGCTACAGAACTTGCGAGGGGGGTTCGATTGTTCTACAAACCAATTTAACAGATCCAAAGTAGCAAAAACTCGAATAAGGAATGAGGAGAACTAAAACTTGAAACAAACCCGTCTCGCCAGCGTCCTATAGCAGGCCAACACCTCCTTATTAAGGAAGGACCTATGTCTAACAGTGGAATAGCTTTGATAATTGCTATCCTTCGGAATAAGGATAGCATTTGAAGAAGAAGAAAGTAAGCTTATGCTTTTGAATTTCTTTTTGTGACATATATATTGATTTGATCTATTGACTTTCCGTGTGATGACGGATTAAGAATACGGAGTGTCACCACCCCTATTCATCCATCATGGGTATCTTAACAGCCGACTAAGGGAGCAAACTACGCAGAACAACGACACTGCAAAGAGAAGGAAAACTTGACAAAAACCCAAGCATCTTCATCGAGCTAGTGAGGTTGTATACAAATGCTTTTAAATAAAACTTACAACCATTTCCTTAATATAGGGAGAGCCATGCTTCGTCACAAATGGGTCTACTCGACCGGAGGGATACCACGGCCTTACAGAAAACAGATGTAAAGCAATTCTTTCGTTGCATTCATCGAGAGA